GTCCCCGCGCGCGCCACGCGGGGTTTTAATGACACGCAGAGAACGCTGGGCGCCTCACTTTGCTACCGAGAACCCCAGCTTGTTCTTTGTCCGCACCCCCCACCCCCCGGCGGACAGGGCAGGAAGGTGACTGAACCCTCCTCCTCCGTTTCTAGCAGCCGACCTGAAGGTCGGCTCCTCTACCACCCTCAAGCTGGCAGAAACGACCTCACCCGGACCGAAGAGACGGACGTCACCCCAAAGCCCGTTCAGTCGCTGCGATCCCGGGAGTTGCCCTCGTCCCGATGGGCGGAACTGGAGGAGTTTTAAGCGCCGTCTCGTCTCGGTGGTTGGGTGGGCACCGAAAGACCCCGGACCGACTTCCCAAACTACCCAAGAGCCGAAACAAGGGAGTGGAAACACATAGGGTTGGAGGTGTGGCTTGCCTAGCATGAGTGGCAGCCCGAGTTCCATCCCCTAGGTTCCCTTCCTTGAGCCTAGACTTACTTTTCCTCCCAGTCCGTTTTTACAAACCGAGATAGTCTGGTCACCCGAAATTTGCCTGGGTATTTAAAAGGGTTTTTACTGTGGAATATTTTGAATATACACAAAAGTATAGATGATGCTGTGGTGCACCACAACGTACATATCACCTTAACTTTTACAATTATTAGCGTGTAGAGTCAACCAATTAGAGAAAATGGGACAAAGTGTTAAGAGATGGAATGACTGGATTGAAAGTGTGGCCATAGTAGAAGAGGAGAAGAAAAAGAAGGAAGGAAGAGAAAAAAGTAGCCCAGTTTTACCAATTAGTCTTGTCAACTAGGGCATATTATTTTATTTGTATAAATCTCCTTTACCTATAAATTGGGGGGTGGGGTGGGATTTTACCTTCCTCGATAATGGATTAATATGAATCTGGTAAAGAGACAATGATATGAGTTCTCTCCATGTTAAAAGTGATGCCAGCACTGGGCAGGGGAGTCAGAAGGATCCCTAGGCCTCCGTGTTTTGTAAAACGGGGGCGGGGGAGAGGGAGAGGGAGGCGTGGCTACTCACATCATGCAGACAGCGCACGTGGAAAGTTTTATTATTAAAGGGGGAGGGAAGAGAGGGAAAAAGAAAGCAGAGGTGTGCACTACCTCATGGCAAGAAAGGGAGAGAAAAGGAAGAAAGAAGAAGGGAGAAGTTTTTTTCCTTAAAGGGGACTTGATGTAAAATGATGTGGTCAGGACGCTGGGCAGGTCCCCAAGGGGCAGTTCTGAATGCTAACACTGTGGCCAGCCATCCTGGCCTAGTAGGTGAGTTCCAGGCTGATTGATGAGAGACCATGCCTAAAAAAACATGGACCGCTCCTGAAGAGTGATAGCTAAGGTTGTCCTTTGACCTCCATGTACACTTGTGCACACATGAAGACACGTGTGCATGTACATGTGCACTTAAGAGAGAAGTGCGCGATCAGTGCAGCATACAGTAGCTGTGGTGGTTTGAAAGAAAATGGCCCTGTTAGGGGGTGTGGCCTTGTTGGAGTAGGCGTGGTCTTGGTGCGGTGTAAAAGGAAGTTTCTGTCCTGCCAGCAACTCCAAAATACCTGGCAGCTGCTTCCCAAATTACCTCATCTTAATTATAAATGCTTGGCTGGTAGCTCAGGTTTATTACTAACTAGCTCTTACATTCAAATGAACCCATAATTCTTATCTATGTTTAGCCATGTGGCTTGGTACCTTTTCTCAGTACAGCATTCTCGTCTTGTTTCCTTTGCGTCTGGCTGGTGACTCCTAACTCCACCCTCCTCTTTCCCAACATTCTCAGTTTGGCTTTCTCACCTAACTTCCTGCCCAGTTACCGGCCTGTCAGCTTCATATTAACCAATGAAAGCAATACACACTCATAGTGTAGAAAAGAGTTATTCCACAGCCTTGGAGGAAGTGTGTCACTGTGATCCCACTTTGAGGTCTCCTATGCTCAAGCTATGCCCAGTGTCACAGTTCACTTCCTGTTGCCTTCAGATCAAGATGTAGAACTCTCAGCTCCTTCTCAGCGCCTTGTCTGCCTGCACACTGCCATGTCCCACCATGATGATAATAGACTAACCCTCTGAACTGTAAGGCACCCGATTAAATGTTTTCCTTTAGGAGAGTTGCCGTGGTCATGGTGTGTCTTCACAGCAATAGGAACCCTAAGACAGCAGCACTCAACATGTTACTTATTATTTGTTGTTCTTTCAACCCCAGAGAACCTTGCACACTCCTTACCCTCCTCACATCATACCCTGTCCTGCTCAGAACTGCTTAAGGTCAGGTGTGCCCTTCTACCAGTGAACCCTTTCTGAGTACTCAAGGAGAACGAAAGACTTTCTGGCCCAGTTGTATAGAGAGTTAAGAGATCATGGATCAGAAATATAGTGCAGTGGTAGATACTTGTTTAGAGTTTTCAAAGCTCTGGATTTGAATCCCAACACCTGAAAATTCATAGTGAGAGGAAAGGAGGAACTCATTTTGGCGGAGTGTACTGTAATCCTAGCACTTGGAAGACTGAAGGTCTGCACGTTTGAGGCTAACTTGGCCTGCACAGTAAGAAGAGTTCCTCAATTGCTCAAAAAAAAAAAAAAAAAAAAAAAAAAAAAAAAAAAGGAAGCTGCCAGGCAGTGGTGGCACAGTGCATGGAAGGCAGAGGCAGGCAGATCTCTGTGAGTTTGAGGTCAGCCTGATCTCCAAAGCAAGTTCCATGACAACCAAAGCTGTTACACAGAGAAACCTTGTTTCAAAAAACCACACATGCAGGGAAATAGTGGGTTTGGGGTTTTAAGTGTATTTGATCTTGTCCACACATAAGCTGCTCTTACAGCTGCCTCCTGAGCTTACAGGGCTAGCCCAGCCTGGCTCAGGAGCCATAGGGCACTCTCTCTCTCATATATATATATATATATATATATATATATATATATATATATAAATTTTTAGATGTATGGACGTTTTGAATGAATATGTGTCTGAAATTATATTTTTTGAGTTTTGTGGTCACAAGGATGTTCAGTGTGTACACAGAATATGTCGAGAGTTTCTGCCAGAGGACCAGAGCATGCCTTTAGTTCCAGCACTCCAGAAAGAGAGGCAGGCAGGTTTCAGTCTTGATGAATTTGAGTTCCAGGGCAGCCTGCTCTTTGTACCAAGCTTAGTTCCAGGACAGCCAAGGCTACACAGTGAGATGCTGACCTGTCTCAGAGAAAAGAGGGGAGAACACTAGAGCAAACTAGAATGTGTGTGTGTGTGTGTGTGTGTGTGTGTGTGTGTGTGTGTGAGAGAGAGAGAGAGAGAGAGAGAGAGAGAGAGAGAGAGAGAGAGAGTGAGTCCTTTGAAGCCAAAAGAGGATGTTGGCTACCTTGGAGCTGGACTTCGAGGCATCTGTGAACCACCTGACATGGGTATTCGGATGCCAACTCTGGTCCTCGTGATAGAGCAGCCAGTGCTTCACTGCTGACAGTCTCTGCAGCCTACAAACTGTAGAATTTTAAAACTACCGCTGACCATAACACCTTACTGCATGACTTGTCTAACAGCTGTCAGTAAAGATTAACTTGGGTGGGGGAACTGGGGAGCAATTGTTGTCCAGGACCCACAGGGTGGCTCACAATCATCCGTAACTTCAGCACCAGGGAATCTGATGTTACCTTCTCACCACCCAAGGCACCAGGCACACATGTGTACATGTAAGAAAACTCTCTCATATATATGAAATAAAAATAAATACATCTATAAAAAACAAGAAGAAAAATCTTTATTTTTGTTTTATGCTTTTACTAGTAGGAAATTAAATCTAAATTGGTTTGATTTCCTTATCTACAAAGTTGTGACAACATCTTGGGTTCTTAGGTGGAACACAGGATTTTGAAAAGGCCTTGCATAAGAACTTGCTGTGGACAGCTGTATGTCCCAGCAGTGACTACAAGATTCATAAGATAAATTTGGGACAGTATTCTTTCACAAGTATTTATTTATTGATTGATTGTTGAAGTCTTGATGTGTAACCTTAGCTGGCCTGGAACTGGCTATTCAGAACAGTCTGTTCTCAAACTCAGGCAATTCCCCGGTCTTGGCCTCTTGACTGATGGGATTACAAGCATATGCCATCTCTCCTAGCATTTTGCAATTTCTTGAACATCGTTATATATTTTAGTACTGCTGACTTGTCCCAAGACCTTACATAGACTCAGTACTGAACTGCACTCCCAGCCTTCAGGTTTCCTGCCCTTCTGCTCCCCCCCCCCCCTCTCTCTCTCTCTCTCTCTCTCTCTCTCTCTCTCTCTCTCTCTCTGTGTGTGTGTGTGTGTGTGTGTGTGTGTGTGTGTGTGTGTGTGTGTGTTAGGGTCTCATGTAGCCCAGACTGTATTGGAACTTGATATACAGCTGAGGAAGACCTTGAAGTTATCTTTTTCCTGCCTCTGTTTCTCAAGTACTGGGGTCAAGGCACTTCCTACCACACCCAGCTAGAATGTTCCTATAAGAAGTTTCCTTTCAAGAAGATAGAGTTTTATACTTTTCTGTGCCGTGGTTCAATACTGCTTCATTACTACAGGGTAAACCTTAGGGCTGCCTATTTTTTCTTCCCATCATAAATGCCTTGTAAAACTTTCTTACTGCAAGCACCCCAGGACTCTTATTATATCACCCTTGAAATCTCTTTCATTACATTTAATATTCTTTTTTAAAGATTATATATACATATATATATATATATATATATATATATATATATATACACACATACATACATATAAAATTCTATCTGCATGTATGCTTGCATGCCAGAAGAGGGCAACAGATCTCATTATGGATGGTTGTGAGCCACCATGTAGTTGCTGGGAATTGAACTCAGGACCTCTTAAACTCTGAGCCATTTCTCTAGCCCACATTTAATATTCTTTTTTTTTTTTTAAAGATTTATTTATTTATTATGTATACAGTGTTCTGTCTGCACATATCCTTGCAAGCCAGAAGAGGGCACCAGATCTCATTACAGATGGTTGTGAGCCACCATGTCGTTGCTGGGAATTGAACTCAGGACCTTTGGAAGAACAAGCAGTGTTCTTAACCGCTGAGCCATCTCTCCAGCCCAAAGTTTTTTTTGTTTTTGTTTTGTTTTAATAAGCCACTTTTTAAAAATTTATTATGTACACAGTGTTCTGTCTGCATGTGTCCCTGCAGGCCAGAAGAGGGCGCCAGATCTAATTACAGATGGCTGTGAGTTATCATGTGGTTGCTGGGAATTGAACTTAGGACCCCTGGAAGAGCAGTCGGTGCTCTTAACCTCTGAGCCATCTCTCCAGCCCTTTAATATTCTTAATTATCTTGTTCATTTGCTTTGTATTTTCTCATCTGTAACACAGAATGTCTTACTGTTCTGTTGCTACCTCTAAGCAGATTAGTATGCAAAGTATATAGAGTATAATTTTTGGTAGGCAATGTTTACATTAAAGTGTACAAATGCACATACAGTGAATGCCTTCCTATGAAGTGTTTCATAGCTTCTCTTTCAATAGGTTGCCATTTGCAATTTCTTCACACAAGAATTTCAAATTGTTTTGCTCAATTTAAAAGTTCTCGGCAGAGGTGGGGAGTTAAAGCAGTGGCTCAAAGGTTAAGATCATTTCCTGTTCTTTCTGTGGGCCCTAGTTTGGTTCTCAGCAGCCACATCAGGAGTCTAAGAAACACATGTAATGCT